ATATTGGTGCACAATACCTGCTTGTGCACCATATACTTTAGTATTCTTGCAGTGTAACTTTTTCTCTGATGTCCCAATCCAGCTCCCCAACTTTGATGTATTTTTATGTAACTTTTCTCCCCTGAAAACTTCTCTGAATCTGCATCTTTTCAGACGCACAGACAGGCCTTGAGAGTACAGTGATGTTAATCTTTTTCTTTGCCCTTTAAAAACCACATACTGCTTGAAAAACAAGTACCCTACCATGAACAAAGCCTCACTTAAAGGCTGCAGAGAATAAAGAGAGAGGAGACAGGTGGGAGGCCTAGCAGCAGTAACAGACAGTGTGTGAGTGAATGACGAGAGAAAAAGCCTGAAAGAAGAAATGTCGCAAAGTGCAAGGAAGAAGAGAGAGAGAGAGGGAGGGGAGATAGATACAGGGCAAAGTTGGAAAATGAATGAAAGAAAAATGACTTTGATGAAACAAAACTTTCATTTTAAAGTACAATGTGCCATTTGCACTTAAAAGAAAAACTTCCACTTTAGTGTTGTCATAAGAACACATATTTATCAACACAGGTGTGATGGTTTTGATTCAGAAATGATAAAGTGAAAGAAAAATGCAAATAAACCCTTGTTACTGGAGTTTTTTCCCCTTAAAAAGACTCCAATTTCTCATTTGTAGACTTTAAAAAAGTGCCTGCCAGGGGACACATTTGCTGATTCACAGTTAATAGAGTTAAACTGCATTCTAAACAAAACACCACAGTCAGCCGTATTAAACAACATGTGTTTATCTTGCAACAGCTGCAGCTTGATTATAGTTAATTTAATGGAAGTGAAAGCTAATTTGTGAATAAATTAACATCATTTTATAAGGTTTGGTCATAAATGCACATTTAAAATAAGGATTTAACATTTCCTTTAAGCTTAAGAAAGAAGACCGTTATATAAAACACAAGTGAGTAGTGTACTGCGTCTGGATAAACTTAGGCTGGATAACAAAAGAGAAACTTCCCCGAACAGGAACACCATCACTGGATACTACATGGACATAATTAAAACCCTTATTTTGAAAATATCATTATTTGTGGCATAGGCTCTCAGAATTATGGAGCTTAGACCTTTGTAATCCCCAAACAGAGGTTACGCCTTAATGTTGATGATTCAGAAATAAGTCTTGTTTTCACATATCAAATATTACCCAACATGACAAGTAAACTGTTCCTCATGTGTAATTCCTCTGTGATGCCCCTGTAAATAAAAAGTAAATATACCTTCCAAGGAAAAAGTATGTGAACCCTCGACTTAGATGGAGATCAGATCACAATTTATGAACAATTTATGCAGAAATCTAGGTACTTTTTCCTGGACTGTATATATCACTCAATTTAGCTCAAGGACCTCTGAAGCGGGCGAACAGTGCTGTATTGGTGGTGCAATGTTGTTTCATCTTCCGGGACAACATAAAATATAATCCAGGAAGTCCAGTTTGAGTAACAGAATTCGAAGGACTTTCAGACGGCAAAACACTTGGTGTTATAATACATCAAGAGACACGATACACAGGATTTTACAAGTTATCATGGCAATTACCGTATATTTCATATCAATGAGCACAAAGTTAACCCCATAACGCCTGAATTTAAAATGATTTGTGTTCATTTGCTTTCAAGCTGATGTTAAATTAAGTGAAGATTGTTAATTTGTCTTTAGAACATAGAAAAGATATAAATTCAGGTATGTGTAGGTATGATGCAAATTAGCAACAACAGGCATAAATGAGAAACCAGGGCTTGCAAAAGGTTCCCAGGTACGTATCGAATATGCACCAACAGGCATTGGGAAATCCATGTGCTATCTTGGCTTGCAGTCTGCAAGGAAAAGGTGTGATGCGAATTGCGACAATCGGCGTCAAGGGGTTAACAGAAACAGAGGTATATAGACCTATGCTGTTTAAGTTACAAAGTAATCCACAACAAATGCGCTCTTGTATGTAATTGATTGGCCAACACCATGTCTTGCCTGAGGACTGGGTTGCATCGAAAGTTGAGTCAGGTTCAACTGTTTTGCCAATGTTGCGTTTTTGTGAAGGCAGCCCCAATACATCGACAACCTGGCTCCATTCAAATAAATGAGCGGTTTGTCTGAGCATGGCCACTGAAGCCACTTTGGGAACCACTGAATAATCGTCACCACTGCTGTGGATGTATGTCTTCTCTCCTTTACACAATTATTCTTTGCTTCAACCAGCTTACAATTACACTGAGTAGAATTGGGAGTGTTTTTACTTTGTAGAGGTGCAGTTTGAATCCTATGAGTCGCCTACATGATATTCATAATGACATTCTCTACACTCAGCCTCTGTGCCTTTTTGTGTTATCAGCCTAGAGCTTCTGCTCTTTTTGAAAACCTGTAGTGGCCATAGCTCCTGTTCTTCTTGGTAAGCTGGCATTTAAAGCTCAAGTTTTGTTTATACTGAAGTTTCTCAAAAGGCCAAAAGGCAAAGTTTGGGTTAAACCTTAATGGGTGGAGCTTAAGTTTATAGACAATTGAAAAAGGCAAGGGGTCAGAAAGGAGAAAGCAAATATTATGAGATGTAGCCCTCAAACAAACATCATTTTTGTATAACATTGTGGTCTGGGACACTTCATGCATTTATAAGCAATATTATTTAATATAGTATAGTCCTGATACTTATATTTAAGATAAAAACAAACAGAAATTGATGACATAGTTTCTGTCTCTAAAAACAGATTTGTTTCTACGAAATGTTTGTATGCCAAAAAATCTGCTACTTTTACTGGGCTTTTTGCTTGTTTAGCACTAAAGATGTGCCGTGTTCAGTCAGCAGTGCACCTATTCAATACAGTAGATTCATGGTTTAAGATGGAATTGGAAACAAGGCTTTATATAATGGACTGAATCTAATCTTTGTCCCCTGTAAAGCCAGATAGAGCAAGTCATCATTTCGTTTTCCCAGAAGTTACTATGATGATCCTCTCTGACACATTTCTGGGATGATTTTAATACACACTGTGTGTGTTAGCCAGATTGAGATGATGCCTGACGGATTAACAATCCTGTGGTGGTTGTGGATTACGGTTGGTGTGTGTATATGATGAGAATAAATCTAAAACTGTTTGATCAATTCATTATTTAGTCAATAAAACAACAGCAAATGCCAATTACTTCTCTCACCAATTTTTAAACACCCAGAGGGTGAAAATCACAAATGACCCTGCTGATTCGAATCAATTTGTTCAGTTCAGTTCAAAGATTCACAGTCACTGACTATGTAATTTGTTCACTTTTATGAGGCAAAGTGGTCGCATCACCTTCAAATGCACATCAGTACGTGTGTCAGTAAGTGAATCCGTTCAAGATTCATTTGTACTGTACGTGTACTGAACACCTCTACTTCGGAAATCAAATTTGACAGTGACCAGCATATTATTGATATTTAATTAATTCACTATAAAAAGTCTTATTGATTAATGTCTATGAAGATTCTCAGTCATCCAGGTCATAGTTATCCAACGAAGGTTAAAATCAAGGGCAACTGGACTTGGTTGAAGATACTGGAAGACGTTTCGTCCCTTATCCAAAGGACTTCTTCAGTTCTGACTGACTGGCAGGGAAACTCAGCTATTTAACCTCAGAGAAGATAGACAGAGAAGATGGATGGTTTGAAAGAGGTGTCAAGGAAGTCATCTACACCAGGGCTGAGAAGCCGTCATTGAACAGAGGAGGGGGTCTACGCCACCACTTATCCCCCACTTACAATGCTGTCCTTTCATCACTTCCCAGGAAACTCAACAAACATAACCTATTGGCCTCAGGTGAAGATGCCAGCGATGGTCGTTCAGTCTTGGCCACAGGTAGTCTTAACGACTGTAACGACTGTCGTCACAGCAACAAGGAACACTATCGAACCAGCGGTATCGATGACCCGGACCAACGACCCCACTGAGATTAAATAGCTGAGTTTCCCTGCCAGTCAGTCAGAACTGAAGAAGTCCTTTGGATGAGGGACGAAACGTCTTCCAGTATCTTCAACCAAGTCCAGTTGCCCTTGATTTTAACCTACGTTGGATACTTATTGATTAATGTTTTGTCAATTCACTAATCTATTAAACAACTAGCCCAATTCAGTTTTGGTTCAGTGTACAATTATTTGACATGACAGTCCTACAGAGAACCATCTAAAAGGGGGCAAAAGTTCTAAAATACAGTTTCTAGTAAAACCCAGTTATTTCACAGCAGATGTATCCATTAATTCTTGTAGAGTTTAAGCTATGTGAACAGTCCTCAGGCACAGAGAAGGAAGCACAGAACAAGTGTAGTTTGTGTGTGTGTGTTGTGTGTGTGTCTGTGGAACAGTGTGTGGCACAGTGTGTGGCACACTGACCCAAATAGGAGCAGCATTTGAGTGTCAGCCATTTCTTACGAGACACCGCTTTCTGGCACCACATGCAGCTCGACTTACAGCGATCACCATGGTGTTTAAAATCGTAAATATTTTTGGCTGGATCCTCTGCAAATATCACGGGGAAAAAACACTATGATAACAATATAGCGACTTAGAAAATAAAAAAACAAAAACACCACAGAGTAAGACAAGGTCATTACAAACTCATTATGAGCACCAGAGATAAACCATAAGCGGATATTTTAGGGAAAGTATAGTGATTTTCCCTGAGCGTAAAGACGCAAATAATGCGCAATAATCCGCAGCCTGCAGCACGCTGGATAAACATCTTGTCACCGTATGAAACGGTGAGTGCGCAGACAGACAGCAGAGCGCTGTAGCAGCAGCATTATAAAAGCTGAACCCGCAGGGATCACTGTTAATGAAGTGCTTTATAGCATAGCAACTGTCAATCATATTGATTAACAAAGCCTCAGCCTCCTGTTGCCATAGAGAATGCATGAACAGGCAGCCTGTAGCCTACCTTTTAATAAATGAAAACTCAATATAACATTAGAGGAATAGGAAGTATATTTTAAAGCATCCTTACCTCGAACAAAGGTGGGGTGCCCTTGTCTGGAAGTGTGCATCCCAGTAATTCAGCCAGGAACTTTGCCATATAGAGGTGAGAAGTGTGTTCCTGAAATACTCCTGAAATGTGATGGGGTAAAAAGAAGAGCTGAATCAACAGGAGGGTCCTCTTTCTGTCAGCCTCGTTAACTTCTTTGTGGCGTTCAAGGACCGTGCGCGCATCCCTCCTTTCTTCTCCTCCAGCTGCCGAAACACCGGAGAGAAGGCAGAGATGTGCCGCTGGCCAAAATACCGCCCAGCCGAGCGCAGGGCAGCCGCTGGATGTGCAGTTTACAGCCTTTGGGTCTCGCTCGCAAAATCCTCCGTCCGCGAATGGTCTCGCCTTCAGCAGCGGTGTGGACACACGCAGGTGGGGCCGGGCAGAGGGGGTGTGGGCGGTCCAACGAGCTGTCAGTTGGTTTTCATCTACGGGGTTCCCCACTTTCACAGATGAAATGGAAGGTAATCCTGCACCTGAAATCCCCCCAGCATTTAAACCTCAAATTCATTATGTGTTACACTTTTTGAGAGACTAAAACCAGTATTTTTAGACTCAACAATGTAAAATTTGACCACAAACTAGCCCAGGATAAACGCATTTTAATATTTAATAGGCTTATTTAATATTATTTAATATTAATAATCATATTATTTCCTGGCTGTTTGAAGAAAGTTTTGACACTAACGTTAGACAAACGGCTTGTAGCTGTAAATAACAATTTAATTTACAGAAATAGATTGTGCTTGGTGTCACCAAGACTTGTTGGCGTATGTATCGGCACTCGATTTTTTCCATACCCCATCTCCGCTGGTGGAGATGGAAGTGTAGGGAGTAAAACATAGAAGTGCTGGTACTGCGTACCGGTGAGTACCGGCCCACTTAAAGCACTGACTGTGACTCTGATTAAGAGTATTTATTACAGTATTATTAGTTCTTACACACATTGATACACACAGACACACACCTCTTTTTTTTTAGACCTAAGGCTGTCCAAAGATGTTCTTTAATTATGTACATTGTAGTAGTATTTATTAGGTATACTGTTAAGAAAGTTTATTCTATAGGCTAGATATACAGTATTTACATACACATATATAAGCATGAGTCATCAGACTAAGAGAGAAACATTGGTCCATTCCTTTTATATCACTACCTGTTTTTGAAGCATATCATTTATTTTTGCTCGTTTTGTCTTATTGTTACAACTTATCCCAGCATGTGTTACAACCTACCCTGGTTTTGGGGTAGGTTGTAACAAGGGAACACAATGCATTTGACATCAACTCACAAGGTCTGTGACATTCTTGTAGAGGGTTGAATTGGTGCCATTTGTAGTGAACAAATGTGGGTACTTTGTATAAAAGTTAGAGTCATTTAACTAAAAATTTCAGTGAGTTTTATTTGCTGAAATAAAAAGTGTTACAACCATACTCTGTCTCCCCTACTACTACTGCTGATGGCGAGCTAATGTGCTAGTGCTACTCAGTCACATAGCTTCTTTTTTTTCTCTATACTGTGTTGTTTACACACAGACACACATACACACAGTTTATTAAAAAGACATGTCTGTCGACACAACTGTCTGCAAATCATACATACAGGGTTGAGCTACTCTGTTTTGCACTCTCCAGCTCTCCCATTCCCTGAAAGGTCAACATTGTGTAAAAAGGGTTTGCTATAGTCAGCAGTGCGAATTTTCTTGTTAGAGTTCACCAAAGTTAAACCTGACATGAACAATTTGCACAGATGTACCTTGCCAAATATCTTACCTTTACCTTGCACAATTGAACTGTTTAAATGCGAGTGTGTCCGAGTCTTTAAGAGTGGCATGTTAAAGGGAGAGTAGGTGATTCTGCAGAAGGATTGTTAATATTTGAACTCAACTGCCAAACAAATGAACCCATCCCTTCAGTGCTACCTCAGAGGCTCCGCCCTCCAAATTTAAAATTGCTTTGGTTTCTCCAGCGTTGAAGCGCTTACACCGTAGCCTGGTCATATATGGAATAAATACTGTCCCAAATGTATTGTAGCTGTTTGGAAAAGTTTTGTGCTCGTCAAAATTTGTACTTGTACATTCAAATGTTTGAATGTGTGGAAAAGTTTTGTACTTGTGAAAATGTTTTGTAGCTGTGTGGAAATGTTTGAATGTGTATAACAATATTAGAAAAACCCAAAGTTTACGGTACAGATCAATTCTACATGTACAAAAAAACCTACAGTTACAAGTACTTTTGTCCCACATTTGACATGTTCTACTGAATAACCAATGGGGATGCTCTGATTAACATGTCATTTGACTATCCAATCAGGAATATCAGTTCACCATCCAGTCACGAATTCTGAGACCTTTTTTGTCTTTGGCTGTTTCTCAGCCATGTCTCCTTCTTTACAGTGCATTCGAATGTGCCCATGTATAGAACTCTCTCCCACTGCCCCCCTGCCCATTTCACTCCTGTGCATGAGCATTAAGGCCAACTGTTGATTGGCTGGAACAATATTGTGGGGAAGGTCCACATCACTTCCTTTGTTTTCCATTTACAGAGCTATGGCTATGTAGGAAAACCAGATTTATTTTCAGAGCACACACAAGAGAGAGAGTTAGCAAATTGTGATGAAGAATTTTATTAATTAAACAAAAAGTGTATTGGATTATAATCACTTACTATCCCTTTAATACCAATGTTTTTTTGAATATTAGTCCACATTGTCTGGGCGTCTACATGTATTTGGACATAAGCGTATGTAGTGTTTTATCAGTGTTGCCATCAGCAAATAGGTCAAACTGCCACAGCAGAGTCAAAACAATCTATGATTTACATTTTTATGTCTTTCATCTATCAACTGAGGATTTTTTAAACATTTTTCTATGCTGTGGTTTCCCATTGTAATCGGTCTGGCTATCTATCACTAACAATGGTAAAATCAGTCTATCCAGCGTGAACAATGAGCAAATTAAACTGTCACTATAGGGGCTGAGTAGATTTTATTGAATATTCATGGGCTCACAGGACACCTGGCTGGGTTCTGAAGATCACAGGAGGATCAGGAGGTATTGCTGTGAACACCAGTGTGTTTTTAATATTCTCTTTCCATGTTTGCATCTTATTAAATTGTTATTTTTTATAAATTGACTGTTATAATGTGAAACGGTGATGCATATATTTGTCTCCTGTTGTTAAATTCAAGATGTTTTCATAATATTCATCAAAAACCCATGATTCATTTACAGCTTTTGTTTTTGCCCCAGGATGTCAGGAGTCAGGATGCCTCGGGAGGAGATAGATGAGTTTGGTTGGGGTTTATGAAATGCAAAAACATCCTTTTTGGAATTAATATTTACAGCCTCCATGATTATTTCAATAGTTAATTTAAAAACTTGTAAACCATTTGGTTCAAATTTGATACATTTTCTTTTAATTTATTTATTTGCTCAGGACCATACTCATATGGTGTGGAGCACAAACACGCCATAACAAATAACAAAAAGACATAGTGACGGCATACTGCTTGGTAAACAAAAACAGCAAGGAAGAACATACCTCAGAAAGAAACCCAGTTTGCAAATAACTTTCGGTTTGTCTATTTTCAGCCATAAAGTTACCTTATACATAGTCCCTTACATAATACTTTGGCAGATACCTTTCTCTGAAATTCATATGCTTACATTCTTACAATCAAACTAAAAATGATACTGGTCTCCCAGACGGTTGTGATTACAAAAGTTGCATATCCTCTGGTTTCTAGCCAGTCCTTTATATCTTCCGATGACCTTGGAAATTCTAGCATTATTATTATTATTACAAACTAAACTGTGGCGAATTGCTGTAGTGGTTTGCACTTCAGGGCCACCATACTTCAGTGTTGATTCATTTCAACTCAAACCTCTTTTTTATGAAAAAATATCTTATTTTCAAATCTACATGACCTTGCCTAACCTTCTTTTGCAATTTGCTGCTGATCTTTCAGCAACGAACACTACTCTGACATGCAGCAGGCGTCTGTTCATAAGCCGCTCATGCTCCCCCAGGTATGCTCTTATTCTGTCAAACATTTTCCCTTTATTCCCGACAACTCTCCACACCTCTCCCCACGTTTCTCTCTCTCCTATCTATCAAGGATTTTCTGTTTGTCTCCCCTGCAACGAGGGATTCATACATGTTTCTTGTCAGAAGCAGAGAGGTCAAAGATCAGGCTGCATGATGTCAAACTGAATAGATTTAAGTGAATAAAACACTGGCACCTCTCCTCTCTTGCACCAAAAGGGACATTGATATAGACAGGGACAGAGGAGGTAGATGGGGGATCTTGAAGTTTGAAGAGGGAAAGTGTGAGGAGAGAAAGAAAGGCAGATTGCATACCAAGGTGTTTGTGTATAGTGAGCTTGAACAAGGTACATTTTTGAGAAATGAATACCGTGTAGATTGTGCTGTCGACATATTACAGTAGGTGAACACTGTCCTCCATGAACAGCCGCTGGATAGTGTGACAATACCAAAAGTGAAATGGCGTAACATATACACAGATTGGATACTCTACTGTAGACTCTTGATGGTGTTTTTCTGACAAGCCAAAGACAGCAACAGTAAATTCCTATTTATTCCTAATTAATTTTTCATTCATTCTCTCTCTTGAATTTAAACTACACACAAACCCTTAGCTATGTGTATACATGAAACAACAAAATACACATTCTATGATCAAAAAGGAGCAGAGAGAGGACGAATCTTACATTGCCTGCCCCCTTCTCAAAATGAGAATATAAACGGTACTTTCCACAGCCAGGCAGCAGCTCAATTATAGGAGAAAACGTCATGCGAACTCCAGGCAGCATTCCCAGTTCTTTTTATTCTAAGAGGACGTGATTGACAACCACATGATAATTCATACATTTTTGATTATCTAATGAGGAGTGATGGTGTGATGTCTCCACACAGACTACACTTTCAAGTGGTTGCAATGTTGTCAATCTGGTTCAAACCGTCACCCTTCCTCTTTGGTGTTTGAACTGTATCATCCAAGCACCACCAGTTTTTTTTTTTTAAAGCCTTTAGTTCCCAAAAAAGCTTATGTTGGGGTGTAGCTAGTGTTAAAACTAGCTTGCTGGTGATATCAACTCTACACAGGGCACACAGTGCACAATGCACAATTGTACACAATGCTGTTTAGCAAACTGTGACAGAAGCAGACTGAATACTTACATGAAGAAACAGCTTCTCAAAAGGCAAAGTATTGTCTGCTTTTCATGTTTTTGTGAATGCTTGGGGGTTTTATCCTGAAAGTACAAGAATGCTTTGCTTTCCTTGTGTA